TAAATATATGTAGTGTGTTCACATGCATGATTGAAACCTCCCGAATATGTTATGTAATCCAGCTTCATCCAGCGTTTTTGGCCTCATTGGTGCCGCGTCATCTTGTGGTTCTTCAGCTCTGCCTTCGCCCAAAAAACGCCTCCGATCGACCTTCTGAGATTCTCCATCCAAAAGATGCAATCCTTAAGAATGGATCCAGACCAACAAAACTGGAAAAAGATAAAAAAATAATAATATATATATATATAATATATATATAAAACTGGGACCTTGGTGATTTTCGTGTTTTTAGTACTGCTCCTCCCACCTTGGGCACATGCCCCAGCCGGCCCTCCAAGGTCCGCGTGGCCAGGCACGACTCGATGTTGCGCTGCAGAGCCGCAACCGCCTGACATAGCTATGGAATGCTATGGACATCCATGGATTTTCACATAAAAAAAATATACAAATGGTGACGCTTCCATAGCTATGTTAGTTAAGTCTACTGGAGGGTCAACTAAGTAAATCTTCAAGTTTGATGGGTTTGCACCACCCATTTCTGGTCGCTTGGGTTTGCCACATGAAAACGTGCCAGAAACAATCCATTTGGAAGTCATTTGACACATTTCAATAATCCGCTTTACATTCTTGAGGCAAAGGGGTAATTAAGGGACGAAAGGAGGAATGGTTCAGTGAAAGAGCGGTGTGTTAGGAATTGGGAGATACGAAGTGCAGAGGAAATCTGATGACGCTGATGTTGCTTGCGACGATATGGCAACACTTTGAGCCACGGCAACACTGCTTCAAAAAAAACAGAGGGGGGTGGATACAGTAGTTAATTAACTGTCAAGTTTCACCTGATTGGTGACTTCGGCCCCTGCCAATGCCTTGCTAAAGCAAGAGGGACTTCAGCTAGCAGAAGCTAGTTTTTCTCATTAAATCCCAACTGGGGATGCCTTATAAATCCCATTTCCCGCACACTCAATACCCCCTAAGATTGGGGAGGATCTCTGATCCCAGCAACGCAAATTTGACATGTTTGATTGTTGGATTTGCCAGAGGTCCAGAACCCTTGCATTTCAATGCCGCTTTGCTGGGCCCATCAACGTTTTGTATGGACACCCTAAAAATTGGGACATCCCTTACGGCCCAGTGCCTTTCACCGGTCCACCTTAAGTCGCCCCTGTCCGCCTGCGGATCTTCAGCACTGCCAAACCACACCTGCAGCTCCCAACGACTGGGCGAAGTGATGGCCCAAAGCATCCTACCAAATGGCCAGAGTCACACTTCATTTTTAAAATTGCATGATATATTCCTCTATATATATATATACAGGGGGATTACTCATATAGCTACGGTACACAGAGGTGATTCATCCCTTGGAAGGATGTACAGCCTGCTCATTTGGTGCTCGAAACTCTGGACCCTCAAAGTTGGATGACTTCGCCATATAATTCACAAAAACAAAAGCAAACCATAGATTGGATATCAAATAATCTCTATACATACTTCATTGAAATACCACAACAGAAATTGTGAGGCAGCCCACATTTGGCTATATATATATATATATGTATATATATATGTATATAATCTAATTTATTGACGTCTGCAAACTGTGAATCGGTGGTAAAATTCATGATGTATCCACACAAAAATGGAAAATGTCGACTCAAGTTTCCATGATGCCTCGATTCGAAGGGTGCTGGGAACTCCACCTTTGGGGCCCGTGATCTTGTCCTGGCAGCACTGGCAAATCGCCATGACATAAAGTTGTCAAATTTTTGGTGGAAAAACGGGCTGAAGATGGGTCAAAGGCGGCTTTAACACGTTTGACTGTTTAACCCATGTGGTTTTGAAGTGGAACAAATCCGAAAGAACTGTCCATGGCAGTAGGTTGGCAGACATGCCCCTGCAGCCTCACCCAGCCCCCGCTCCACCAAACGCAGGCCGGTGATCATGTCCGGTTCCAGCGTGTTGCCCAAAGTTCCCAGCACAACGTTGTTCCAGTACTCATCCTGGATTTCACTTGGGGGGTTGGACGAAAGGTAGTACATGTGGGGGAAAGGGAAGAGGTAAGCAGCAGCGCCATGGCTGATTTCGACAACATGGTCGGAAGGTGGGCTGGGACATTGTTTGCGAGAGTTATTCGAAACTGACATGAGTTCTGATCAATAAGGATACGATGGTGATGTTCTTCCGCAGTATCATACCTGATGCCAGACATTGGAGTAGATGCTGAACTGCGTCCGCGGTGCAATGGGTGGGACTCTTGGTGGTTGTGCGATGGAAGACGTCGAAAGCGTTCATGTTGGTTTTCTTGTTTTGTCGTCGGCATTTTGAGAGCGGCGACTTATTCGTGCTAGCTGCTGCAGTCGTGCGCTTAAAGCTTCGTAACGCCATTATAGTGCGATTATATCTCGGGGATTGAAAGCACCTTTTGCGTCCACCTTGCCTCCTGGTGATCGCAATTGCAGATTGCAGCAAGCAAAGCTGCGAATTGCCTCTATATTGCGATTATATCTCGTTGATTGAAAGCAAGTCTTGCATCCACCTTGCCTTCATTGGTGATCGCAATGACTTTGGCTCTATCTCGGGCCACACACATTCAAAGACACTTTGCTTATTATATAAGTCATGAAACAATATTAATATGTGTACTGGATCCTGTTTCCATGCCCTCTTCATCCGAACACAGCAACATCATCACCAGCAACATCATTAAGTCGGATGATTTCAACCCAACCTTATAGAAGTGGGTCGGATGAATGCAACCTTAATGGCCTGAGGTGGAGACTTTTATGTCCACCTCAGATTTTGGTGCATTTTTTCCGAAACATTTGCTGACCTCTTCGTGTTGCCTCTTGCCGTGGTGCATTGTGCAACCTCGTCGTTTTTTTGTGGTGTTTATGTTAGATGCATCTGCATTTTACCGGAAGAGTAGGTTTTTTTTTGGGGGGGGCAGGCAGGGAACAGAACTTCAGCCAAGCCAAGGGTGTGAAGCGATGAAGAGATCATACAGACTGTCTCTGTAGGTAGATGTTTGGAACATCATTGCTACCTGAGTGTTTCCATGGAAACCTCCGCGACTTGTGGTGACTTCAGCGAATTCATTGGTGCAAGAGTCTGGGGTTGTGTGTGTGCACTCAAAGACGCTTGCCAATAATCTTCTTACTTGGTAGCTGTTGTTGTGGCATTAGTTCTCTGCGTTTGCGCTTGTACAGTCGTGTACGTGCCAGTGCAATTTTTCGGTTCTCACTGTGGCTGCTCATGTACGTGCAATTTCCGGCTATCACTGTGGCTGTCACGGTCGCTATTGTTGCTGCTGTTGTTGTTGATAATGATGATATGATTGATGATGATAGTGATCATGGTGATGATGATGATGATGCTGATGCTGATGCTGATGCTGGTGATGATGTTGCTGTGATCGATGAAAAGGGCATGGAAACAGGATCAGCACACATATTAATATTGAATATTGTTTCATGACTTATATAAGCAAGTGTCTTTCACGATCACCGACGAAGGCAAGGTGGGCGCAAAACTTGCTTTCACTCACCCAGATATAATCGCACTATAATGGCGTTACGAAGCTTTAAGCGCACGACTGCAGCAGCTAGCACGAATAAGTCGCCGCTCTCAAAATGCCTACGACAAAACAAGAAAACCAACATGAACGCTTTCGACGTCTTCCATCGCACAACCACCAAGAGTCCCACTCATTGCACCGCGGACGCAGTTCAGCATCTACTCCAATGTCTGGCATCAGGTATGATACTGCGGAAGAATATCACCATCGTATCCTTATTGATCAGAACTCATGTCAGTTTCGAATAACTCTCGCAAACAATGTCCCAGCCCACCTTCCGACCATGTTGTCGAGATCAGCCATGGTGACATACCAATTGCAAGGCAAATCCACAGTCCACTGACAGTGATCTTGCTAAAACCTATAACATTTCGATGCACGATACAAATCTCCCAAAAAATGATACAGATACATTTATATAATTTATATACTATTTTCTGCAAATGTGCACACAATGAACATGCTGCATTGACATACTCCGCTGAGGTCGTCTCTATACATGATAGCCTCACAACAATCCTACTTTTCAAGCCTCAAACTGACTCGGACCAGAGAGGAATCGAAGAGGGGTGGGCCCCCCTAAAGACTAAAACAAAAACATGACGGAAAAAAAATCCGGGATTGGAGGCAGACCCTGCCACAAATACTTTAGAGTACTACAGTACATGGAACTCAAGTAGCCTACGCTACCTTTCGTGATCATGAAACGCCAGCCCAAAACAGCCCCAAAATCATCATCAAATTATACAATCTGTTCCGTTCACTTTGTGGGGATGGTACCAGGGCGAACTGACCCCCACCAGAACCCAGTCATCTCTTGCATGAAGTCATGGTAGCACAATCTAGCCGCTTGGAATCTCGCTCATAGAAACAAACACCACTCCGCAGGACCTGTTCACACTACCTCTGGCAAACATGGCCGGATATTCAGGAGATAACCCAAAACATATATCCAATTGATAGGCGAAATTGGATATATATATATATATGTGGTGATTAAATTAGTTATATACAATACAATATATCCAATATCCAATTGGTATCAGATATTAGCTATGGCCCCTTCAAAAATCCAATGGTTTTCAGCCATCATGCGCTAAGCTCCAGACCAGCTGTGCTGCCCCAGTGGAGGTCTCAGACGTGGGATGAAAACATGGAGAAAAGGAAAACATCGAAAATCTGGAATATAGGGAAATATGAATGTATTATTTTCTTTCTGCACCGTTCATTCTCACAAGATACAACAACAGCTTCACTTGCACAACTGTTCAGCTGCTTCTCTCCTTTGACACGGGGGAATGCCAAGTCTGCTGAAAGGCCCACCAAGCCGTACGGTTGGGCTACGCATATGGTACATGGAACCTGTGGGATTTACCAACAAAATTGGTCTGAAACTGTAACATCTGACACATGTTGTGTCTGAAGCGTCTGATGATGTCTTCTGTGAAGATGATGAAGGCATGAAGTACTGCTCGTGCTTGAAGAAGTTGCTGATAGTGAGGCCCATGCTGGTAGTTGCTCTCTTCAAGCTTGTCGGTGACTTCATCCAAGGTATTGATGGAATTGGCCGTCATTTCACGGAGCAGCACGCCATTCTGGTATCTTTGGAGCTCGGCCAGAAATGCGACTTTGTCTGGACGAATCTTGTTGGCTATGGGTGGTGGGCGGGCGAAATTCGGCCAACTGAAAACGGTGACCCAGCCTCCACTCCCTTGACAGGAACTGCAGGAAATAGAACAGGTTTCTCAAAAAGACGTTCGAATGAATGCAAGCTTGTTTTCCATGACATGTAAAACAAGGAAGCTTCAAGAAAATAAATAGTTCGTTTGTCTGCGCCAACTGCCTACACTAATTTCTTTCCGCACGATTCAGTCTCACAAGATACAACAACAGCTTCACTTCCACAACTGTTCAGCTGCTTCTCTCCTTTGACACGGGGGGATGCCAAGTCTGTTGGAAAAGCCCTCCAAGCCTCCCCCTTCTCTCAGGGGCTTTCTCCAAAACCTGTCTTCCGAATTTCTTTAAACTCCGGGAGGTCGACCCTCAAGGTCTGCGGAAGAACCTCATGCTCCTTCTCTCTAGAAGGGAAATCAACCAAGTTACACTCAGTAGGGACACGTGCATATCAGGGAAAGATGCACCACTCCAATTCGAGCTTAGCTATGGCAAAGACAATGTCCTGGAGGTTAGGGTTGCTGGCATATCCCTTGAAGATGAGGAAGCGACACCCGTCGTTGTCTAGAAAGATGACCACGTGCTTTTTTCGCCAGCTTCTTCCCCCAGAGATGGAATGCCACCAGCACCGCAAAGGCTTCGAGTTCCTCGATTGCCTGCTCCTGATCCTCATCCATGAACGAACGACAAAAGCTGGCATCCGTGAAGATGCAAAGCACTTCGTCAGCGTTGGCGTCTACAAGTCTGGGCGGGGAGTGTAGCATCTGAGCGGCTACCGCTTCCAGGGCCCTTTCCGTGTGCTCCAACACTTTGTTCTGCTTTGGAGGTCGCACCGCATGGACGCCCAGCTCGTTGATCAACCGCCTTGTTGAGCGGCCAAAGAGTTGATCCTCAGCAAACCCCAGCCGGCCTTTGAGTGACGGTGTAGCCGTCGCTGTCAATGTCCCTTCATCCAGCGTCTTGGCGATCTTTTGAACTTCCAGGAGGCCATCAGAGGTCTTCTCGAAGCTGAAAACGACGCCAAGGGCTGAAACTATGGCACCCATCTCTGAGGCCTTCTCACCAATTTTTTCAAACTTCCCCCCCAGGATGTCGAGAAGGGTCTCGAAGTTCAACTCAGCACTTTTCGCAAGGATCGGGCTCGACATGCATACGAAATCATCAAAGTAGCATGTGAGGACAACGCTAACCTTGAGACAGATCCACTGGAGCATCCTGGCACATCTAAGAAAAGCAACCACGCTACTTTTGGCTCCAAAATGGAGGCTGTACTGCTGGAAGCATTTGGTCTTCTCCTCGCCTGGATCATACACAGCCAACCTCGCCCACTTCAATGAAGAGTCTGACACAGCAAGTTGGCGATAAGCACTTTGAGGTCGAAGCTACGTCCCACGAGGCGACTGCTTTTCTTTGCCTTCCGCAGCCCCTTCATGAACTCACAGACAATGGCTGCGATCGTGCCGACCCTATCCACAGTAAACTTGTTTGCAATGGTCACTCCACTGTTGACCTGAGACTCGCTGTAGTTGTCAATCGGCCGCGCCTTCTCCGACTGGACAACAGCAAACGTTCGCGAGACGGGTCCTCCATCTTTTTCTAATGGCTCCAACCAGCCCCTGGCTGCTTCTTCCAAGGTCTCTTGCCAAAGCTCGGAATCTACAGTGGCAGTTCCACTTGACTTGCAGGAGTTCATGATCGCCTTGTTGCTCTTGTGCGCCTGCTCTTCCAAATCAGCGATGGACAAAGTGGCAGGCTGGAAATCATGAGGAAGGAGACCCTCTGCACCTGAAGTCCCAACTAAGTCAAAGCCGTTTATGGTATCCTCCACGATGGTCTGGTGAGGGAACTGCATCTGGGCCAACATCTCTTTCAAAACCAGCAACCTTTTCCCTTTGGGAATCTTTTGCCTATGTTTTGGAAAGCTTTCATGAAGTTTCTTTTCTTCGGCTTCCAGTTGCATAGCTCTGGTTGTCCACTTCTTCAAGAAAGCGGCTCTATCTCTTGCTATTGCTGCTGGAACTTTTGTGACATTTTCTTGGATGGCTTCTTTCACTCCATCTGCGAGGCCATCAAAAATGCTTGCTGGGTGTCCTCACTCCAGGGCTTCTTGGATGAAGCTCTCGACCGCCCATGGGGCTCCAATTGCAATTTCCCACAGTTGGCTCTCCTCCCCCTTCTTGTCAATCGCTTTCTGCGTAATGCGCAAAACGCGACCATTAGCAGGGAAGGAGGCTCCGTCGATGACTACATCATCTTTGAGTTTGGCGCCAACATTCAAAGGTGGAGCCTTGGAAATGATGTTGACCACAACGTGGCTCCACTCTGGTATGAAGGCTAAAGACTTCTTGGTCTGGTTGTACGCCAAGGCTCTAGCTCGCTTGTCTGGGTGAGCTGGGAGTGCTGTTCGAGGTTGAATGTACTCTGGCTTGATGAAGTCGTGCACCAACTGCGCCCAGCGCTTGCTAATGGGTATTCAACTTCATCGGCCATGGCAAAACCCCAAGGGGCCATTCCCCATGGTAAGTGCACATGCTGGTTGGTGCACTCAGCCGCAAGTGCCTGCAAACACTCCAAATCACTTGCTTTAGACTTGCTTTCTTTGGTCGCATGCCACCAAACATGCAGCTATGAAATGTGACCTCGAGAACTGTTGCCCAAAAGGAAGTAAGCCAAAAGATGCTCCTCGCAGGTTGCTCCACGGACCAGTGCACACCAAGCTGATGACAAAGAAGTTGCAACCTGCATGCTGCAGCATAGACTTTGTTTGCGAGGTCTAAACGTTCCTTGTCTTGCTGAGTCAAGTTGGGAATACCGTCTGGGAATTCATCACTGCGCAGTGGTTTGGGCCCGTGATGCTTGGAGCTCATTGGAATTTCACGGGCACGCGAGGTCGTCCTACATGGTAAACCAAAATGGTAGTACTTGCACTTGTTCCCAGGTCTACTTTCACAATTGGTGCTTTGCTCGATCCCGTGACCACTCTGTCAACTCCAAATGATGCCATCATCCCTACCTTCCTGAATTGAGCTGTCAAACCTCCTGTGCCGGAACAGAATTCAATGGCAAATGGCGCACTCCCATCACGAGGTCGTGAATGTTGTTGCGGCAGATGATGTTCCACAGCGGGTGCAAGTTGGCTTCCATCTCCGTCACGGGTTTCTGGTGATACATCCATCGGCAGAGCTTCATCAGCAGGTTGGCTCGTGCATCTAATTTCCTTGGGCTCGAGGCCCGATGGTGTTGTAGTCAAAACAAAGCCGGGAACCGTCGGGCAAGCAAGATGCGCAACCCTTCAAAGCCAATGGAAGTTTTCCTCCGGAGGGGAAGCCGCCTTGCTTTTGGTTCTTGCCCGTCTTCCACACCTTGTTGCTGGCGCGGTAAGTGGCTTTGCCGCCGCATTCCCGCGCAGTCCATTCCTTCTTGGGCTCTGGCTTGGCCGTTGCTTTGGGTTGAGGTGGAGCAGCCTGCGTGGGTAGCATGTAGTACATGACCGTGTGATCGTTGCGCGGCTGCTCAACCACTGCATCGAGGGTGCGCTTTTATGTGGTGGTGGCTTGATGCCATCTCTAGTCAACTCCTGCATCCTCACAAAGGCTTGCCGGTCTGCACACATCAGCTGAGTGATATTGGGCTGCTTGAACCCTGGCGGCGCTGGCTGCCTCATGATTTGAAACAAGTGCCCCGCAACGTCGAATACCAGGCTTCTCCTCGTCATCGCTTCCATGACGTCAAGCTCAGTACCTACCCGGCATTGCTGCCCAAACGCAGCTCCATCCTGGGTATGCACTTGGCTGGATTCAAATACTTCAGGGAATCAGCCTGCATCATGCCACTCACGGTGTCATAAACGCAGGGAGCCACCTCAAGAGGACCCTCGTGCGTCAGCCCGGACAACCTGTCTCTCTGTTCAGAGATTCTCGCCATTTCTCTCTGCAGCCGGGAGCTTGTTCTGCGTCGGGTCTGCAGCTGGATCTGCTGATGCCCTTGCTTGGGCTTCAAACACAAGCCTCCTCATGGTCGCCACATCTCCGACAGTGTTGAGCCTTCTCGGGGCTGCGTCAGTCAGCAGCTGCCGGATGGCTGCCTCAGTGGCTGCGGCCCCAGGCTGTCCACAGGCAACGTCCCAGTGTGTTCACTCCAGATGCTTTGAGACCAGTGAGATATTCTTCATGGAGCCCGAGTTGTTTGGCCTGTCTCTAGAAGGCAACAGAGCTATCGGTCAGGTTCATGGCAGCCATAGTTCCCTAAAGAAAACGTGATGTTTCTGAGATGTTGGAAACAACCACAAACAAAACGACATACGTCTGCACTTCTCTTGGATTTCTCACTTGAAAATCGCGAGCTGTGAGTTTCAGCTCTGTCACTGGGCAATTTCAGACCACATGTCGCGAGTGGTACCTCATGTTGCAAAATACCTCTTGTGAATTGTCGCCGTAAACCTCATGTCAACCTGCTTCCTCATGACGTGGAGTGCAAGCATGCATACACCAGGTGCAGGTCTCAACTGCCCCAAAAGAAACTCACAATCTGATTTGGAACAAAATAATTCAACACAGCACATGCACAAAACATGAAATAAAATCAGCATGAAATGGATACCGCATGTGCAAGGGAAAACATAAAATGAGATTGCTGCTGACCTTCTCAAAGATACCAAGACACAATGCACGACCAATTACCACATGTTCGGTCTTCCGACAGACTGGCTCTTTGTCTCGGAGCACACGTCTGCTCGTTTGCTGTCCTCAGCTCGAACGTTTACGCTTGCTGGCACAAAAGACTGCTAGGCTAGCGCTAGGTGCACTGACTTTAAAAGCATCGACTGCACCCTCTCCATTCGAATGCTGCACCGTAGGATTCTGTGACCGGCTGCAACTTGTTCTTGAGATCCTGAGAACGAAGGTGAAGCATTCTGCTCCCCTTGTATTGCATCAGTCTGCCGTCAACAGCTTGAGGGACTCCACTGCTACTGACGCTGTCAAATTTCTTGTGGAAGATGTTCATTCGCCTCTGTTGCGCATTCGCTCTCTTCTGGGTCTGAGCTGGGGCTCTCCAGCAGCTCGTTGGCATAGACAACCTGGCCCTCTTCGAAGATCTCAAAGCCAGCCTCTGCATGCTGCTCCTCATTGAATGGATTTGAGGGTTAAACGCGGCAGTTACAGAAGGGTCGGCAACCCCTGCATCAGACTCTCCAGGCGGCTCTTCAGCCAAGCTTGGGCTAGGAACCACGCTAGCTGGTGGAGGGGGCGCATCACCATCCCGGCAAGTGTCTTGCCTGTTGCACCTCTTGGACCTCCTTCATGTAGCCGGATCTAATTCAGTCGGGGTTGAAATGGCCCGGCCGAATATTCAAGAGCATCCCACACAATTCTCGAAGTGGCCTGGCAAGAAGATCACGTGAGTAGCAGGCCAAAGGTTTGTCCTTGATGGCATGGTGCCCCAACATCGCACGGCCGGTATCATCTATACCATACCTGGCAAACCATACCAAAGTCGTAGCCTTCAAACTGTGTGAACTCGTGGCCTCTCCTTGGTCTCGGCGATTCCCGGGAAGTCGTTGGGCATGGAGGAAGACCCCTCAGCCGATGTCAGGGGTCTCTTTGTGAAGCGACCTCTTCCAAAACTTCCTTCCATGCCAATGCCCAAGCTCTGTCACCTGCTCCGTCTATCTGGGCAACAAACGGAAGGTACACAGCCTTCTTCTCTGCTGTTTTCGAGGTCTTGTGAATCCTCGTCCTACCCTCTACAAAGCCAAAGGGGCCGTCGTCCGTCTCCATGATGTCGAAGCCAAACTCTGCATCGGAGAAAGGTCTGACCACCTCGCTCTGGAAAACAGCGCGGACAACATGCAACCAGCAAAGTATCTGTCCAGGAGGGTGTGCAAAGAAAACACCATCGCCTCCAACTTTCGCACCTCTTCCATGGTGAGTGCTCTAGCTTGCTGAGTTGGTTCCCTCGTTGCCAGGACTCTCAGCACTCTGCCTTGAAGTAAGGTCCCATCACGTTCGGGAGCTCAATGTCGGCACCATGACGTACTTGAAAAACTTACTGGCATGGACCAAGTTTTTACCGATGAACTTGCTCCTAGACCCTGCTTCACATTGACTGAGAAAGTCCAAGAGGTTCTTTTCAGCAAGTGGCCACCATGGCCTGTGTACGTTAATGCATCAGTTGATGAACTCCTGTATATCACGGGCTCGTTTCAGGACAGTGGCTGGAGACCGGACTCCACATGCATCTCTGATGTAGGTCAGAGACCCTTCACGATCCTGATCTGAAAGTTTCCCCAAGACATACGTTCCTGCATTGGATTCGAAGCCGCTGCTCTCCAGAATGGTGAGCCAACACGCCAAAGCCCTCGCCCATTTGAGATCCAAGGCTTGCCTGTAGTCAGTGTCACAAAGGGCTTTGACATGTTTTGCAAACATGGGAAGGCGGTAGCTCTGCGCCGCACTTGAAGACTGGAAAGGCAGGTAAAGGTGTGCTATCATTTTCGACTGGTAGTCCAAGAGGATCAGCTGTTCCAAAGATTTGTGCAAATACACCTTCTTCCCACGGCAGCTTCGGCAACCCTGCACTACGCTCATTTTTCAAACTGGTCAGCCATAGCAGGGGGATGACTTGCAGGTTCCCAGTACTCCTCATCGAACTGGTCATCCTGGGCACTCCAGCGTTCAGCTTCCGTACCATCATCCATCATCATAGGAGCCATGGACAACGTCGGGCCCAAGAGCATCAGAAGGCTCCTTGCCCACACCACCATCCAAGCCCACCCACCCTCCACTCCCTTGACAGGAACTGCAGGAAATAAAACAGAATCTCAAAACGACGTTCGAATGAATGCAAGTTTGTTTTCCATGACACGTGAAACTAAGAAGCTTCAAGAAAATAGATGGTTCGTTTGTCTGCGCCAACTGCCTACACTTGTTGATCCAAAAATTCTGGGGTAAAATGGGAATTGGATAAAGGTAAAACAAGATAAAACAAGTATATTGTAAAGTTCGCTGGTAATCCAGCATAGCAGTGGAAAGTCTGCCAGCTCTGGATGATCCTACAGTTTTTGAAAATTTGGACTTCCCAGTGTCATATATGCTTGCATATCAGAGTTAAAGAAGGACGACATCTGCACATGAATACATCCTTCTGATCTGACCATGGCACGTGCTAAAAGTGACAGGTCGGAATGCAATCAAGTGCAAACGATGCAAAGGGCGCGGCCTTTTTGCAGGCAAAATGCTTGGGTCAAGTGGCCACTGCGAGGCTTGCAATCAGTGCATGTCCATGAAATGCAAATGGAATGATTGGGATGTCAACTCATGCGCTGCATCTTAGTGGGACAACTCACACTCCCAATGTTCTGTTGATTGACATTCCCTTTGCCTTCATGGAGCTGGATCCACGGCCGCTGGAGCCATTCGAAGAAGTCCAGCATCAATTGCATGCTCACTTTTGTGAGTCCATCTGCAAACATAAGGGCCGTTGGAACCCAAAAAACGTTCTGGCGACTGAGAAACTGTTGTGCCGATCGTATTGTTACGATCGTTCTTTTGTCCTCTGTTCGAGGGTTTTCGCTGACCAGCACGTCGTACAATGACCTACAATCTGTCACCTGAATCATTCTCAAAAGTTCACTGGATGCTATGTGAAACGCAGGCCGGTTCAGAAGCAATTCGCTCAGCTGATAGTTCAGGAGTGAAGATCGGTCCACGGACATGTCGCATGCAGATGCCTCTGCCGCCAAAGTACTTCGGCACACTCGCGTGGATCGCGAAGATTTCCAATCCAAAATTAAACCAGCTCCAATGACGTCTGTCACCTTAGGGTCTGCCAGCATCGTGATGCAACCATGTTGAGAGGAATGATTTACAGAGTTCGCCCATGATGAATCTGCAAAGGTCACCAGCATCGTGCTGTAGTTGATGGGTACTGGTCGCAGTACAAGTCCTTTTGTTTTGGTCTGGTGCAGGTGCTGAACGGCGCAGTACATGTTGTGAAGATCCTCGTAGGTGGATTTCTCTCCCTTACTGCAAAGGCTCACAACTGCTGCAACATCAGGTCTGGTTTGACCTGCAAGCCACTGCAAACATCCAGACACACTTCGGAATTCTCCAAGGTCTTTCTTGTCCAGGGTTTCCTTGAAGCGTTTCCTGGAAACTTTTCCACCTTTCATGTCTGAGATGAACTTCTCCTGGTCGAGCTTGAGGATATACTCACTGGATTTGGCGTCATACTCCAGGGAGATCCTTTTGCCCTTGAAGTCCAGGCTGTTTTCAAGGCTCAATTCGTTTTGACTTCCCCACTTAAACAGGCCCAAAAGATGTTGACGATCATATCGGGTGTCGTGGCAAAGAAGGAAGTCATCTACATATACTATAGCAAGTGCACATAGAACAGGTTGAGCCTCATTCTCAAACTTCTGGTGGTAGAAAAACAGCATCTTATCCATGGAGCTTTGCACATAGCCAGCTTTGGTTAGCAGCTTGATGACGTGTAGCTGCCACGTTCTCGGTGCATTGGCTAACCCATACACATTTCCAGTCACCTCATACAGCATGGATGATTTGAAGATGCCAGCTCGTTGGCATATTCCATCGCTAGGAGGCAGAAGGTAAAGGGGCTGTGCTCTTTCTTCGGGTTCACCTTGAAGGAAGGCCGTTTTGACATCGCCTGCCCACAAAGTCCATCTCGCCAATGCGCATCCCAAAAACTTCCCATTCTTGCCGGCAATGAAAATGGCATAGACAAGGAACTCTGACTGTCTGGTCGGAGTTGCTGATTCTCTCTGCAAAATCCATAGGTCTGGATCTGTGCATCCAACCGCAACGATGCGGCATTTGGCTTTCAAGGGGCCAATCCCGCGGGACTTGTCGCGGAAAGCTGCTCGTGATCGCAGCACTCTCTTTCTTGCAATCTTGTCTCTCAAAATCGCTCTGGCTTTCTCAATGGGCACTGGCTTCACTGAGTTGAAGGTGTTCCATGAAGTCTCCTCAGCTACTGCAGCGTCCACATAAGCTTTGATTGTTTCCTCCTCCATGTTCATGATGGTCTGCCATGGGATCTCCTTGTCCAATGCTTTCTTTTCCTGACGGGTCAGTGTTGGTGGAATGTTGCCCGTCTCACCGCGGTAGTCATCTACATCCGCATCTGAGTCATCACTGTCGCCATTGCCAACATAGTCTTTGTCCTTGCGGTAGGCATTCATGAAGGTGCGGTTGGCATAGGGCATATAGACATCTGGTGATCCATCAAAACCATCGCTCATCAAATGGAGGCCATCAACGTCGTTGATGTCAAAATTGTAGCAGTGATCCACTGTTGGGAATGAATTCTTTGACTGTTCATGTTGAACTGGTCGTAAAAGTGAAACTCCAAAATGCTCCTCTGTCTCGCCAAAGGTGCGTTTCGCTGGTGTCAACTTCAGAGCTTCTGGTGTTGACGGCGCCTGGTTTGCAACGTCTGCTGCAATGCCCTGGGAGTCTGGTGCCAAGGCATGAGAAGAAGAGGGCTGTGCTGTGGAAGGCTGCGCAGCCACGTTTTCATCATCATCATCATCCAAAACTTCAATCACATCGGTGGGTGTTGATGTTGGAAGCCCTCGTAGAGGTGGTGTTTCATCTCCAGTTGATCTTGCATTAGGTTGTGCTAAAAAAGGTTTACCTACTGACTGTGGCACTGAATCAGGTTCATGCGATTGCACTGGAAAAGGTCCTAAAGGCTGTTGCACTGAAGGAGGTCCATGTTGTCGCTCTGAAACAGGTCCATCTGTCAGTGGAAGTTGTCTTGCGGCTCGAGGCCGTTCACCAAGTTGATCTTGCAAAGTCCGTCGGACTGGAGTCTTGGATCTTGCTCTGTGAGGCTTCCGCACTGGCACATTCACAGATGGCTGTGCCTGTTGTTGCTCATTCATGCCGAAGGTCTGGTTCTGAATGATGGTCTGTCGGTATGTTGGTGAGCTCACATTCATATGGATGTTGGTCTCTGGGTATGGATCTGTCTGCACTGCTTCCTCAGCTTGCAAGTCAGGAAGGTGAGGTGTTGATGCAGCAGGTCTTGGCGTTGAAGGAACTGGTATCAGGTGAGCACCAGCTTCTTCAAACATCTCAGGTTCCTCATGGAGTGGTGGTGGAACCTGCACTGCGGGTTGAACTTCGTCAAAGCCAGGTAGTTGTTGATCTGCATGTTCAGGCAAGGTCTCATCTGTAAGGATGCCATGTTGCATGTTGTCAACTGCAGATCGGAGGCTTTTCACATCTTCAGGGCTAGGGCACCATTGCTCAATGCCGACAGCTGCTCTGATCTGGTGCTCGGCGGCCTTGATGGTGTTCGTGCCGGCTTGCAACCAAATAGATTTTCCATCAGGGTCTCTACCCAACACTCTGGCCAACTTGAAACCTCCGCGCTTCTTGCCGGAGCGCATGGTCCATCTCCAGTAGGCTGCTATGGATCCCACTGGTAATTCTTGAGGTCCAGTTGTAGTTGATTTTCGCAGCAGTGCTCTCCTCAGACTGCTGTCAACGCTCATTGCGGCCAAATGTTGTTGAGCTTCAACTCTGAGATAGTCAGCTTCACGTTGAGCTTGTTCACGGGTCCTCCCAGCAACCAAGCCATGCTTGTCAGAAAGAAGGTTCATCCCCATTCGTGGGATTCTTCCAAAAGCTGCTATGAAAGGAGGTCTGCCCGACGACCATGTTGTGGAGTTCTTTGCAAAGCATGCTGCAACTGCTGCTTGCTCCATGTCATAGTCTCCAACAACAGCTCGTGAGTCTATGGTGCGTTCCATCAGCTCACGCAAGGTCGCGTTGTGCCTCTCGATGAGCCCAATGCGATGGTGAGCTTCAGCTGGGATGTAGTCCATGTAGACGCCAGCTTCATCCATAGAAGACTCAAATGAGCCTCGGAAGCTCCCATCAGGATCAGCTTTGATCTTCAAAGGAAATCCAAAAGCTCTCGCCCAAAAGGTTGTGAACTGGTGGGTGACTTCTTCAGGGCTGCGATCGTTGAGTCGTAGTGCCATGTGGAGGTGAGTGCACTCGTCAATGATGCCCAAAAAGATGTAGTTTGCTGCTCTGATATCTCTGGTGTAGAAGATGTCAATTTGCAGAATGTCACCAAATTGCCAGTTCACCTCATGTGGAACTCCAGAAGGTTCGGGACGACCAGGCCCTTTGACTCGCACGCAAGAGTCACAGTGGAGTCCTTCAATGGCGTCGTAGATCTTTTGGTCCTTGATGCCATTCATGGCAATCATCTTCTTCAACTCGTTGGCATGTGGGTGACCAAGGTCTCGATGAAGCCTGGCCAGTGCAGTCTTGACATCTCGTGGAAGTCCAGGCATCTTTGGAAAAGTGATGCCTTGCACATTGGAAGCAACTATCACCTGTGGGTCATCTTCTCGTGGTTCTAAAGGCAGTTGCACTGAAGAAGGTTGTGATGATGGAGGTTGCTGGACAGGTGGTTGCGCATGGCCAAAGAAAAAGATGCCAATGTTGACTGGCTTTCTGAACTTGGCCCTTGGATGTCTCACTTCTGCCAGGTCCTCTTCCACAATCTCAACAGTGTTGTCGTTGTAGAGAAGTGCCCATCCACGGTGGGTATGTGGTATATGCACAGGCATTCGCAGTAAAGTTGGTTGAGCTGCCATCTGCACTCTGTCAAGTTGATGCCATTGAACAAGTTGTTGAATGGTCTTCCAGGCAGGGTCTGATGTAGCCAGAAGGTGGGTCTTCTGACGTATTGTGTCGAAGGTCTTCCTGGCTGACTCAAACACTGGGGCCCAATCTGAAGGTTCAGTTGTGACGGCCATCACCTGGAAGTTGGATTTGTGTTGATGTCCAAAAAAACGTTCAGGGTCATGCTGGGCTGCTGTCTGCTTGATGCCAATCAAGATCTCACGGATCATGTTGTCGGGGTAGTGTTGTGACAAAGTTGTCTCCTTCCCCTCCAAAGGCACGCACTGTCGAAGTTGATGTGGATCAAGCTTCCGGGTCAGTCGGTCTAAGACCAATGGACAGTTGCCCAAGAACTTGAAGCCTTTCTTGATCATGTCGCCTTTGGAGTTTGTTGCCCCGTAGGCACCTGAGTGGCACACCACAGCGTAGACACCTGGTAGTCGAAGAAGTCGTAAAATCAGAGGTTCAAGCCACAACCGGCTTGTCACTGGGTTCTCCAAAAGGAAATGGCGGCCAGCTTCTGCCTGCTTGCAACACCAGTCCACCACTTTTCGCAGCAACTTTCGTGCTCTTGCCCTTCTCATCAAAAGGATGATCTTCCGCCGCACGTAGTTCACGTTGTCTTGCAGAAGACACCAGTCTTTGCATTCTAGGCCTTGGAGAAGGAACAAAGGCTTGTAGCTGTCGATCAGATGGTCTACATGTCGTTGGTGTTGAGGTCTTTCAAGGTCATATCCGGTGTTGTAGTCAATGGGCTCCATAGACTTCAAGCCGAAACGCGCTGCACGTCTTGAAATTCCGGCTTGACCAGCAAAAGTCTCAAGCAGGTCGATGCGTGGCCTCATACGCAAGGAAGTCAAAGGTGAGGTTGAGGTAGTGCCATTCTGCAGGATCTGATGCTCAACTTCAAACACATGCACTGCTTGTCGTACAGAGTGTCGCATGCTCTTGCGGTCTGCATGAGTCATCAGAGTTCTGCTTGGCATCGGCTTCAGTCTGAAGGTTGATGTCCCAGTCCAAAAGTGCTTCATTTCAGATGCCCCGGGCCCGTCCCATTCATATGTGACTGACTGGGTCCTGCCATCTTCATATTGCATAACAACAGTGCACTCCGGCCCAAGTTGTTTCATATGCACTGGACATGGGTCACCTTTGTAAAACTCATCCGCATAGAACAACTGCTTTCTGGGAATGTTGTGGATCCGCATCACAGTTGTTTTCCCTACCACCCACTCATCGTTCAGCGAAGGTTCTGTGCCTCCATCTCCCCCGCATCCCAATCCATCTCCCAGCTTGGGTAACCATCCTCCCCTCCGTCCGACTCCGGTGGGTAGGCTGCTGGGTCCCAGGTCTCCTCCACCAAGGTCATGTCGGGGTCGGTGATCGGCAAGATGACCGGTCTGGCCTTGGCACGGGCTTTCGATGCCGTAGTTCTCGTAGAAGAAGTCTTGCCCTTGCCCTTGCCTTTCGTCATGCCCGTGGTGGTGGTCAGGATGTTGGAAGATGAGGGCGGTGGCAAGTGCGAAGAAGCTCGCGACCGCGGATCGCCATGGGGTCGCCAACCTTCTTGGAGTGGATCCCATTTGAACACCTGCCGACATCTCTTGCATTGGCTGAAACTTCCGTGGACGTTGCCGTACCTCTTGAAGTCTGGGTGCATGCAAGTTGCCGGGTTGCACATGCTGCTCACCGGCACCAGCTGCTTCTTCTGGCGCTCCATCTCTTCCACATGCTCTGGAAGGCTCAGCCACTGACGTGTGGCAAGTCCCATGCGCACCAAGGTCGCCATCATATGGTACGTCCTGAGCTCCACAGTCAGCAGGAGGATGTAGATCCGCTCCCAGCGCTTCAGCCATGTGGGACATGTCTGGTGCCGAAACATCAGGTCGCAAAAGTTGCTGGGGCGGTAGGTCACGAATTGAGCCCTTGTTGAGAGCTCCGGGTGCACAAACAAGCTCTGGGTCAGGATCATGCCAAAGATGTGGTTTTGAAAGTTGTGCCCAGCATGCATGTTGTGCTGCATCATCTGAAAACTTCACAATACTCACTGCAAGATGTCCATGTTTGATGGTCAAAGGCAAAACTACTCCCAAATTGGTGAAGGTGATGGTGCCGCTAAACATGTCAATCACGCAACCCAATCTTGAAAGCAAAGTGCGACTTGCCAAAAAAGGAATGTTGGATTTGAGGATGCTGGCTCCCAAAAGAACACCCTGAGATTCCTGGCCTTGAAACTGCGCTGGAATGTAGGCTCTTTCCGCAGCTGCCACTGGCTTGCCTGAGCCGAACTGAAAGTGATCCACGCAGTCAAACTTTTTGACACGAAGACCATGTCGATGCAGGATGTTGGAGTGGGTGTTCAACCAAATTTCACCACAACATGAACGCTGACATGCAGTATCTAAAACCATGTAGCCCCCGAGGTCAATGGTTTCTGCCACCCATGATGTTGAAGTTTCTGTCCCAAACGCTTGCATTGCAGTAAAAGAAAAATAGGTGGAGGCTTTCTCGGGTGCTAGATGATCTTGTTCATCATGTTGCTGCTGATCTTCCTGAATTCCAACCACATAGGCTTTCTTGACTCCCTTGTGACCGGAATTGAAGTTGTTGCTAGATGAAGTACCTGAACCACGGGCACCTTTTCCACCGCCATCTCGCTTCTGCGATGAAACTGAGCAGATAGAGTCACCTGCCCAATGGCCCAATTGGCCGCAAGCTGAACACGTGCTGTTCTTCTTTCTCTCCTCAATGGAGCGTCTTCCAGTAAATTTCCTTCCCAACACTGAAGCTTGCAACTTCTTGCTGGTGACTGTCAGCACGTGTGCCATCTCTGCAAGTGCCTCAGGGTCAAGTGCAGGAGTATCATCATCTCCTTCTTCATCTTGCTCTGGGTCTCCCTCTGGGATTGTATCAAGCACTGCATCGCCATCTTCGGCGTCTTGATACTCATCATCTTCATCTCCATCTACCTCATCTGCCTCGGCTTCTGCAGTTTCCGTTTGGAAAACATTTCGAAGTGGACCTTTGCCAGCATGACCTTTGCCATGAGAAAACGGCTTGGACGAATTCCCACTGCTAGGCTTGCCTTTGCTCGAAGCTGAAGAGGTTCTGAAAGATCCGGATGAAGAGCTGCCAGATCCAGTTGTTGATGCTGATGAGTGCTGTCCACGGGGTCCTCCGCCAGTCTGCCAAACAACAGGGTTGGGCTTGAAGTCAGGGAACTGCAGGCAAAGTGACTCCGTGATCTTCTCGTACTCCAAGGAGTTGCCAGCACCAATCAACACCAAACGTTGCAAATCTGGGGCCAAAGCGCAGCGCTCAAGGATGCGATTGCCACGGGATTCACTGTCGTACATCATGCTTGTCTGAATCCCGATGGTTTGCAAGTCTCTCTCAATTCGGCGGTACCTGTTGACGTACTGCCGCACTGATTCAGCTCCATGACGTCGCACATTCTCGAAGTCTGCAAGGAGCTTGCGCTTCTGGAAAAGCACTTTCTGTTGCAAGGGGCCTCGGAGTTCATCCAAAATGTACTCCACGCCATTCTTTTCGTTGATCTTCTTCAGGTCAAGGTGCTCGGCTTCGGCTTCAGCTTCACCTTGCAATGAGGTGTACAAGGTGAGTGCCATCTCAGCTTGAGTCATATAGTTCTTAGCTTGAAGCACCCAAGTCTGCACCTTGCGCTCGTACTTGGAAAAGGCTCGAAGGTCGGACTGTTGGTAAGTCCATTTTGGAGGTGCTGGAGCTGCTCCACCACGCCAACGTACACCTGGAGCGGGACCACGTTGTGTGTTCCAGGAAGCTTCACTTCCATGCTTGTACTTCTTCTCATCCAGCAATTGGCGCATGACGCTCAGCATCTCATTGGAACTGCTCGGAGTTGCGTGTTGGGCTCGTTCAGAAGGGTCGTTGCAAGGAACCGCATCATCTGGAAGGTCTGCATGATGTTGTCCAATCTCGGAAGCGCTGCTGCGAGATCCACCACGTCGGCGGCGTCGCCGGCGACCACCAGAGAGCGAGTCGCCAGGGTCAATGACAGGGTCGTGAGTCACCGTTTCACTCTCAGCCCACTCAGAGTCAGCATGACTAGGTGGTGGACCAGGGAACGGCTTTGGGGCTCCAAACAACCGCTGGTCATTTCTAACATCTTTGGGGGATCTGCCAGGGGAATCGCTAAGGGACCCTTGACACCTTTTCGAATCCTCATCTGGAGATCCAGCTGCAGAGGAAGGGCTATGAGGGACATACATCCAAACACCAGTAGAGGTTTCCATCTTTGTAGGTTGGCTCACATCAAAGAATTCCAAACCACCACAGTTTTGACATACGTATCCAACCTCGCTATCCCAAATCCAGCTAGCAGCTCGGCACGTTATGCAACGCCAACGGCTCCCAGTCACAGGTCCTAGGTCACCTGGAGGTGCATCATTGGAATCGCTGGCCAGAAAGCGTCTCTCCTCGGCAGCGAGCTCAGAAGGGGTCCAGTCCAGGCTCACTTCGCTGAACAGGTCAAACTCATCCTCCAGGCTTCGGCTCCGGTGCCAACTGACCATGGCACGTGCTAAAAGTGACAGGTCGGAATGCAATCAAGTGCAAACGATGCAAAGGGCGCGGCCTTTTTGCAGGCAAAATGCTTGGGTCAAGTGGCCACTGCGAGGCTTGCAATCAGTGCATGTCCATGAAATGCAAATGGAATGATTGGGATGTCAACTCATGCGCTGCATCTTAGTGGGACAACTCACATCTGATACATTTCTTGCTTTTGCTGTTTCCGCAGCTGCCAGCTGGCATAGAACACTATCCTAGCACAAAACTTTGTAAAGGACAAGTTGCCGATTCTCTGCCCAGGGTGAATCTCAGAACATCTCAGAACCAACCACCACCTTACACCCTCGTGAAGTTCAGGGATTCGCAAAGCTCACCTCAAAAAGAAAGCCCCTGCCTTGAAATGAAACTGGAAATGTCCGCCTTCAGAGTTTGCTGCATCCTGGCCAACTTCGCAAGAATGGACTCCAACATCAAAGCTTGCTGGCACATAATCCCAGGTGAGCGAGCTGAACACTTTTTCTTGAACACGCTGAAGTTTCTGCGGTGAGTCTGACCAAGTGGTTTTGACTCAGTGACTACCATACACCCTTCATGGTTTCAATTCACCAGTTTCGACCGGACTCCAGCACCACAGCCAGATTCAAAGGTCCCAGATAGCTAAAACGGTTGCATGGCCCTTTGAATTTTCCCAACTACTCCATGCCAAGTGGGAAAATCATCTAACGACCGAATAATTTTCAAGTTGTCCAGTGCCAAATTAGTTGGCCGGCGGCGTATGAATCACTGCCAAGTTGAAGTGTGGTCTTCCCAGTCATTTTTCTTGCCACGCACCTCCCACTGAGGCAACACCCCTTCCCGGAAGATCATCAAGGCATCCACATAGTGGCAATCCTCTCACACAAGTCTCTAATGACCACTGGCACCAGAGTTTCTGGCCCTGACCAACAGCACTCGTATTTGTGGCGCTTACCTTCTGGTAATCAAACATGGTTTGCTGGAAAATCCCTCGTTTACAGATGATTTTCTCAATTCCCATTGCCATGTTTGATTATCTACGTTTTGTGGGTCAAGACCTCCATGGGCCATTTGGTTTCCAGGTCCACCATGTATCTATCCACCATGGTCCTCAGAGCCGTCCAGGTTCTTTTCAGCCATACGCCTGCAGGCATGGCACTAGCCACCGATACGAATGGAAACGTCCAAGGATGTGGATGCCATGATCTGATGCGAATAATTTTTGAGTCTCATTACAAATGCATTACGAACCAGGGCCAAAGGTAAAATATACATACACATATGCAGACGCAAAGTTATAGACACAAAATTATTGTATTATGTCATGTGAAACGCATGAAAACACGCAAGGCTGCTGCTTCCCACAAGGCAATCCGCACTCCTCGTCAGCAAGTCGCTGGGTTGCGGCAAGCGCTCCCAGGTCTGCCAAAACTCCTAGTCGTCTTCTTAAAACATTGCTGTGGCTGCCACAACTTTGATCCCATGGACAAAGCGATGAAGCAATTAGTTTCAATTTTGGAAACACTTCTTAGGGTATGAGTTGTGTGTTTCGGGACGTCGTTCCACCCATGGTCTATGGTCAACTTAGGTAACAACCAACTAACAAATTAGTAGCTGAAACACATCACCGGATACATGTGAAGACCAAAAATAATTTCTGTGAATACTGGCATGTAGGTTGAATTCAGTAAAACGTCTTTATGTTTGCGCACTAACAGATTGTGGCCACATGGGTTGCAAAAACTTCCATGATTTGAGCTAGTCAAAACAAAACAAAAAAAAAACTGGACTCGACCCCTGGAAATGACAGAACCACTGACTTGGATTAGCTGGTAAGCAGTGAGTCGCCGAAAAATAAATGGAAACATGTTTTCTGGGAAATATATTGCCAAAAAAAACGGAAAATGATCAAATCCAATTTTCACTTTGGGAAGGCCAAATTTCCAGCCCCGCAGCCTCCACCGAAGAAATGGACGCAATCCTCAACCATCCGTGCCACGGAAACAACGTTTGCGGTGCAACTCTGCCTTGATGCGCTAAACCCAATATAGACCAATAACAAAGCCTATGGTGCAGCATAGTTGGTAATTTTCTACCACCATTTGAATCCATCCAAGTCTGTTTTTCCTTGACCTCTTCAAAGATTTTGGCCACGGAACTGTGTTGTGGACTCCTCATAATGCGAAGAGCTCGTCCCACTGGTGCTCTTGGGGGCAGCCCGCTGCTGCCAAACAACCCAAGAGCATTTGAGCGGTAAATCATCCATGAGCGAATCCTGGTGGCAGATGAGCGCCAAAAAAAAACGAAATGCCCTAGAGAAAAATAATCATTTAAATTCATTTAAACATCATTTAAACATAGATAATTTAGAAAGTTTATAAATGAACGATTTTCCATTGCTATGGTTATGTTTGGTTAGCGAAGGGTAAAACAAACGCAAACTGATATTTTTTATGAATGTGCCACCTTGAACAAGACATTCGCTCTCCCAGTGAAACCCCTCCAGTCCCGGCTCCTCATCACCATGCAATTCCGCCACTTCATCAGGAGCCGTCACTGCCGAGTTGAAACCTCAAAATGGTGAAGGTTGAAAGCTGTTCATGTCTGTTAAGGATGGGTGGGAGGCCATCAGCTATCAGCAAAGCAAACCAAAGATATCAACCGCACACTATGGCCATGCAATATCATGACGAGGAGGGGCGGGAATATCTTAAAAAAATGTTTGGTGATATCGTCGCTGCTTATTTTTGAGGTTGTTCATCTCTTTGGTGGTGGTCAAACCAACAAGCACCAAAAAAAAAATATGTTTTGCTGACGCTATACCTTTTCCGATATCACTACATTTCTTTCAGGATGGCTACGCATTGGCTGCGGCCATGCAAAAATTGAGGGCCAAACTCAGGAACACCATGACGGCATCAATCAAAACATGGACAAAACAATGTGATGCATCGGTCTTTGGATTTAACTTGCTTTGGCAGAGGAATGTACCATACAACAACATCAGCATGATGGAATTATATGACAAGGCCGCTGGGAAATAAATGCACTGGCATTGTGTGTCACTGGATGTTTGAACCAGTGACAACAAAGCTCTATATGGATGCAAACTGGCTGAAATGATCACCTTGACTTTTGACATTCGCACAAACCCTTCCATCCAGAACCTGAACTACATGCAAGGCGTGTTTTGGCTGACTTGGACAAAAAAGAACGTCGCACCTCTTGATAACAACTGCTTCAGAGACACGAAACAAACAAACCCATCCGTAGTTTCAAGTGTTCCTTTGCTTTGTTCACACCAAAACCGGTGAAACCTATACTTTTCACTGAAACAGAATGGAGCCTGCAAAGCATGAAGCAATGAAGCCTGCAAACATCATCGCGCAATCGTCACAAGCGTTCACAACGACCGCCCCCAGAGGCACCAAAACCCCAGGAATCACGGACCAACAAAACTGGACAACCTTTTGCTCATCGACAAACATCGGGTAACCACAATAGCTGGTGCTGCATCCAGCCAAAAACTTTTCGCGAAACTGTTTTCAACAACAATTTGCTTAGCAAATCATGCAATTTGATTGGGGGCCGACGACTTGTTATTGTTTCAAAATAAATTCCCCGATTTGATATGGTCTCCAACAGAATGCCCGGATTGTCCGCACTGGCGGCGTTTCAAGGTGTGAGAGGTGAAGTGGATCTTTTCGCGCCATTGTGTTGTGTGAGGCAACCTAGCAGATCGCCGTGGAATGGTGCTCACGCAGATGTTGGAGCTGGTTCGGCGATGTGGTAGTGACGCGACGAAATGCTGTAAACTACAGCCCGTGCATGGTGGTTCTGGCGTCGAGATTGGGGCGGCCCGTGTTTCGGCCGTTGCGTTTTTTTTTTGCATGCCGGGATTGTTTCGCATTGCTGGCGGCTTTTCACAGTGTGAGACGTGAAGCGGATATTTTTCGTGCCATTGCGTTTTTGTGAGCCAGGGTTGCAGATCGCGAGTGGCCCGTGGAAAAGCAGCTAACAACCGAGTAATAGGAACAAGGTCCCTGGCTCAAGTGCCAAAAGCCCCAGGGAAGGAAAAAACGACAAAAACGACAAACGAGGTGGGAAAAGAAAGAAAGAAAGAAAGGAAAGAAAGAAAGAAAGAAAGGAAAGAAAGAAAGAAGGAAGGAAAGAAAGAAAAAAAAATGATAAAAAAAACGTACTCACCTGCGCTGACACAGATACCCTGCGAACTTCCATAACCAAACAAAAACACTTGAACACCGATAGGAAATCATTCACTGCAGCAGCACCAAGATTCTGACATGTCACTGGCAACAAACATGCCTGTTGACACTGCAGGTCAAAAATTTGGAATGCTGCTGCATGCATTTTTTTCCCGCGGAAGGCGGCTCTCTTATATAAGTTTTTCGCCGGCGTTGGAGTTTCCACACAACGTCAACCCACTTCAGGACACTGGTTGCATCCGGCAGGTTGGACCCCACATGAAGTCTCGTGGTCTCATCAGCAGAGTCCAAAACGTGCCTAATCAATTTGTAGGTCTCAACACAGTCGAAAAACAGGTGCAAGGTGCACTAAAGCACATCCTTTTTGCAGAATCAGCATCAACACAATGCTCAAATGATCATGCATGTCTCTGCTCGGGCTCTGCTAGGAATTTACGACCGCAAGAAAATTTAACACGGGAAAGGCAAGCAGCCGCGGCAGCGACGTGGTCTTGCAGGTGTGTTTGACAAACGGTAAAGAAACCATCTAACATCAAAAAGTCGCAACTTACAAAATTTTGGTTTATTCGACGCGGCGAGGTTAACGAATGTTTCTGCGAACGTGCGTGGCCTTTGCACATGACCATGCTAGTAAGGAATAGTTTGGGACCTAGTGCAAACTTAATAAAATATTTACGGTATGTATTCATGTAATCATTCATAGATACATAAATTCATAAATTCATAAATTCATTGATTCATTGATTCATTGATTCATTGACTCA